CTTCACCCGTCCAGATGAGACGAGTCCAGACTCACTGAAGGCGACACAGATTAGAACGGATCCATCAGCCGCACGGCTGTCAGTAGATTAGAGCTGGATTAAATTCAGATTGTTGGGATCTAATTAACCGGATTGAGGTGGGCTCCTGTAAACCAGTTTAGACTTGATGAGATAATCTCAGGTCTGTTGAAGTGGATTAAACTCCTGAGTGCTGCTGAGACCCAGAACCCAGAATCCCGAGGTCGGGTTCAGTTCTGTCAGAATCAGCTGATTGACTGAAACTCGTGTTCAGGTGTGTTCTGGAAGGAAACGCGGGGTTGAATATCATGAATGCTCAGAAAACACGACCTGTTCTCCTAACAGAGGTGGCATGAAACGGTCTCCCCCGGCAACCGGAGCTGAGATACGGTTGCTATAGCGATGCTAGTTGCTCTCTTCCTCCTGGGTTTGAGTTTACCTGAGTGTTATAATTAGAGGTGTGTGTTGATGTGTGCGGGAGGTCACTGGGAACAGGAGGGGGGAGGCGGGGGTGAAAACAGACACACAAACAGAAATCCCCAGGACGTGTCCCAGAATAGCCCCACGGCGGTTGTTTGTCTTTCAATCGGTCCGTCTGTTCGGCGTGTCTCTTTCTGCCTCGGTGGTTCTGATTCTGTTGGACACAGTTTTCCTGCTTGAGGGGGGTGAGGGGGTGGACATGTTTTCTAAACTTTTCATTAAAGGGACATTACATGACGAGTCGTTAAAGGATGTTCTTGTTGCACATTTTGTTCTGATGACTTTTCGACAGCCTTTAGTTTCAATATGTTCAGTTTAATTTAATCTAGTCCAAGTCTGAAATGTTTTGTTTGTCAAATCTAGACCAGGTTTGGTCTTGAGGAGTTCATGGACAGGGGCAGCACGGTGCCACAACTGGTAGAGCTGCTGCCTCTCAGCGAGCAGGTCCCTGGTTCAATCCCGGTCCAGGGGCTTTTCTGGGTGGAGTTTCCATGTTCTCTCCGTGCATGCGTGGGTTTTCTCCGGGTATTCCGGTTTCCTCCCACAGACCAAAAACGTGCACGTTAGACTGATTTTTTTTTCTCTTTCGGCTGCTCTCTTCTTCAGGGGTCACCACAGCGAACTGTCGCACGAAGACTTTGCAGTTATTTTTACGCTGGATGTCCTTCCTGACGCAACCACAGACACTGAGCTACCACAGCCTCTGTGTGGAGCAGAGAGCTGCTATCTAGGACACCTGGAGGAGCAGATGGTGGGGGTTAAGGGCCTTGCTCAAGGGCCCAGAGTGGGATGAGTGAGGGTGGGGGCAGGTGTGGGTGCTTCACCTACCACACCCACATTTTTGATGTTGTTTGTACTGGGGCTTCAACCGGCAATCTTCCGATCACAGGCCCACCTTCTCTAACCTCTGCACCACCACTCCCCACGCATGTTAGGCTGATTGGTAACTCTAAATTGTCTCTAGGTGAGAGAGAGAGAGTGAAATGTTGTTTGTCTCCATGTGTCCCTGTGATGGACTGGAGACATGTCCAGGGTGTACCCCGCCCCTCGCACAGTGATTGCTGGACATGGGCACCGGCGACCCCCGTGACCCAAAATGGAAGATGCGGGTAAAAGATGATGGATGGATGGCGTTCATGGACAGGATCACAGGGTGCAGTCTTGGACAGGACGGGGTCTTTGACTCAGCCTTAGTAATAGAGTGAAGAGCTCCATCATTTGGGAGGAGCACTCCGTAGATCTCTGCTCCTCCTCACCAGTTGGAGTCCGTGGAGGTGGTTCTGACACTTGATTTGAGGGCCTCACTGTTGAGGTTTTCAGGGCATGTCCCACTGATTGGAAACTGTAGGGTTTCCCATGACAAGCCGGTTCTAGGTGGAGGCCAGATAATGACTTGTAAACTAAGGATCTTGCCTGGATCATGGATTTTGGGTCCTTACCTGCCGGCCTTACATTAGATTAGATAAAACTTTATTGATCACTTGGGAAGATGCTCTCAGAGAATCCCCAAGATCTCTTGGGGTGAGGCTGGTAAGACTTGTGGCTAGGTCGTTACCAAGTGGTCCGTCCAGGTTCAGGCCATCGGGCAACACTGGACTCGTGTGGACCCAGCACTTGCAGGATTTAAGGGTCTGGTACATTGCAGATTGACTGTTGGGGTGAAAGTCTTGGCAGTCCTAATCCTGGTCACTGAATCTGGTCATTGAGACGGAGCACGTCTAGTTTCAACGACAACAACCGAACAAAGAGTTCTGGTGTATCTGCAAAACCAAACGTTTTTAGTAAAATTCACTCTGAAGCGTCAGGACGGATCTGCCTGCAGCGCCAGCCGTCCATGGTGACCATCACATCAATCTGACTGCTGGCAACTAAAATCTGTGTGTGTGTGTCGCTGTTTGTACTCCCCACCGACGGCCCCCCTTCTGCGTGAGTGGTGGTTCTGAAGTGGTGTCCCTCCATTAACACAGAGGGAGGTGTGTGTTGGAGATAACTGCTGTCCATCACACTCTGACACCTCACACACACACACACACTGTACCTCCTGTCGGGTCTCTCCGACACACTGGGCTGTGTGGACGGGAGCGGTGCAGCCATCACGCACACTTCACGGCGTCTCTCTGCACTCACATGCCACCATGTTGACTCACCCGTCATGAGACGGATGGATGGAAGTACAGGAATGACACGCTCGTCACTCCTGCTGCGTGTGTGTGTGGTTCCCGCTCTTATCGGTCGGTGTGTTCCTCCACTTACGTCTCAGTTCAAACATCAGTGGATGTGAATTTTCCCAGAAGTCTTAGCGGTAATCTGCGCGTACCTTTGTGATTTCATCGTCTTTACAGTAAAGTTCGGCTCAGCAGCTCCGCTTGTCGTCGGAGTTACGTAAGTGAGGCGGACGGCTTCAATCAGCTGCCATTTATCTGCATTAATATGGACCGCTGACCCGGTTCTGTTTGGACGGGCAGCTGCTTTGCTTTTCATTATCACATTACACATGCCATGACTCACTGTGTTGTTCCAGCAGAGCGGCCGCCCGTGTTCTCTGGGGGTTACTCAAAAAACAATAACATCCAGAACAACAGATTTATTCATATCTTTGTTGTTTTTACATTTTGGGTAAAATATTTAAACTCCAGCAAAACATTATTTAATGAAAAACTTTATTTAATGACTGTTTCTGATGAAACGCTGAATTTCAACATCTGTCAACTTTCTTCAGCTTAGTAATTTGGGATTTACTTTGAGAGACTTTTATTTTGGAGACTTTCTATGAGCTTTATTTTGTAGCAGCTGGTTAAAGCTTCTTGTTTGCTATTTTAAGTTTGTTTGAACTCATATAAATTGAACAAAGGAAAAACTGCTGAATAATGAAACATTCAGGGACTCAGAATCTGCTGAGTCACTCGTTGCCGTGGTGATTCCCACCATTTTTTGGTCCATATTTTGCAGAGTTGCTGGTTTCCCTGGGGATTCCTACACTTTTTTGCCCCAACATCTGTTTAATCTTTGGTTGCCTTGGTGATTCCCACCTTTTTGGCCCAGAATCTGCAGAGTCACCGGTTGCCCTGGTGATTCCCGCCATTTTTTTGTTCCATATTTTGCAGATTTTTTGGTTTCCCTGGGGATTCCTACACTTGTTTTGGCCCAACATCTGTTTGATCTTTGGTTGACCTGGTAATTTAGGGCAGGGCAGAACACCAGACATAGAAAGATACAGACAGAAACACAGAGTAAAAAGTAAGCCTGTGATTGTTTTACAAGCTGTCACAAGCCTCAGACAAACAGTCCCTGCATGAAAACTGTAAGTGGGAGCCAAAAACTACCCGGATTGTGAGAGTCAGAAGGTTCTGATGTTCTCACCCGTGTCTGACTGAGACGACAAGATTAATTATTGAAAATTAATGAGGCAGCTTCAGTCTTCATATTACTAATAATGTGCCAATTATCTGCTTTGTCTTTATTTTTTGTAAAGCGTAGTAACATTATTTTAGAGAAACTTAAATTCAATTCAATTCAGTTTATTTATATAGCGCCAAATCACTACAAAGTTGTCTCTTGGACTTTACAGGAACATTCATATACATAAAAGCCAATTAGTAAAGTTCTCTATCTAAGGAATCAAAATAAAGGTCGTAACATATAAATCTTATATAAGTGGGTGGTTTGTTTCTACCTTGATGTTTTTTATCCTCAGCTCCAACTGTTGATCATGAAGGTGATAATATATACAGGAGGCTCAGACGGACATGAGTCAGTGGGAGAATGCTGTTTAAAACCTCTCAGTTTGTGTGGCGGCCCGGTGGGGGCGGTCCCAGCTGGGGCTGGGTCATTGCAGTGGGTCTGTGACCACGGGGTTGTTGGTTGGATTCCCAGGATAGAGTCTGCTCAGCAGCAGGTTTTCCAGTCTCTGAGGTGAGTCAGAGTTAGTCGGAGCAGAGGTGTGTTCATGACGCCGGTATGGCCGCTCCACTCAAACTTTGGTCCTGAACCTGCAGGAGCTCTAACTTCCTGCTTCCTGTCTGTGGTTCTAAGAGCTCCACTCTGCTGGGGTTCGGCGGGTCAGCCGCGGCCGCCCAGCGGCAGTGACTGTGACAGGACCTGACTGTGGAATATTATTTATACCAAACGTCTTACCCGTCTCGTCGATCTGTCTCAGCCCTGACGAGCGTGGGCGGGCCACGAGTCGTAAACGCCGGCGAGGAAACAGAGACGCTCTGTTAGGAGTGAACAGAGAGACGGACAGAAACGCCATTTCAAAATGTCGCCTACGCCCACATCCTGCACCGACTGTTCGATTCTCACAGCTGTAAGAAAAAGCAGGCCGTTATGTAACGTCCCTCCTGATGACTTGAAACTCCCGAACGTTGGACCGGCCTTCACTTTCCAAGTTTCTGCAGGTTTTCACGCCGTGATGGAAGAAGCTGACACCTTTTCTGTTGCTTTCACAGGAAAACCTGATGCACGCCTTTCAACGCCTGTTGGTTTGTTCCCGTGTGTTACAGAAAATGTCCAGATGGATTTGACTGTCTTAAAACGGGAAGAAACCCAAACTATGGCTACACCAGCTTTGACACCTTTGGGTGGGCCTTTCTCTCACTGTTTCGTCTGATGACGCAAGACTACTGGGAGAACCTCTATCATCAGGTACTGGTTCACTCTAAAGACAGAGAACAAACTGAATTTATCCAACTGGGATGGTTTCATAAACAACCATGAGCATGTTGAAACTGTTGGATGTTCTTGACCTTTTGCATTCACCGTTCAGTAAAAAGTCTATGGAGCGTATTTTGGCAGTATTATATCTGTTCATTACTCAAATGTTGCGTACCACTTAGCCTCTAGCAAGCTAAAGCTGTTAGCATTAGCTACTAGCTTAGCAAAACATGGGTTGTGGGAACAATTACCTAAAACCAGTTAGCTGTGCAGTTTTATAAAACCATCTTCCTCTCAGAGCTCACAGTGTCTCAGTGTGTTGAAGGTCTATTTTTGTAGCGTCTCGGCAGAACCGAGCCATGTTGGTACCCTGACCCACGTTCTGCTCTCGTGTGCTGTCATGTTTGACTCCAGACGCTTCGGTCAGCAGGAAAGACCTACATGGTGTTCTTTGTGGTGGTCATCTTCCTGGGCTCATTCTACCTGATCAACCTGATCCTGGCTGTGGTGGCCATGGCGTATGAGGAGCAGAACCAGGCCACCATCGCCGAGGCGTGCCAGAAGGAGCGAGAGTTCCAGCAGGCGATGGAGAGACTGAAGAAAGAGCAACAGGTGACGTCAGAACTCCGTCTTTAGTTAAATAGTTGCAGTTTATTTTTACAAATATATTTAAAGTTTCTGTTTTCTCTCTGCCAGCTTGCAGCCCAGAAAACCCTGGACTCAGACTCACTGGCGTCACCGGACCTATCACCTCTCGGCCCGCCGTTAGACAGCTCAGAGGAGCGGAGGCGGAGCCAAGCGCTGATGGGTGTGGCTGACGTGGAGGGTAACCTATCAGAGGAGAAGCTGCTGCAGGTGGACCTGTTGGACGGGGGAAAGGTGAGCTAACCTTTCATCTGCTCACGTTCCCAACATAAAACCTAAGACTTAAGGTTTTGGTCTTTCCTCCAGCCCCTCCATCCTCTCCTCGCTCGCTCCTTCTCCACGAGGACTCGGCGAAGCAGTCAGGTGTCGTCCATCTTTAACTTCCGTTTGAGGAGCCGGGGGTCGGAAGGGGAGATGGCCGATGATGAATTCAGTGTTCCTGGTGACGTAGTGGAAGGTGTCGGTGGCCGGACGTACAGCGGGGGAACGTTCAGCGGAATCCTGGCCAACCCTTGGCCCAAACGGAGACCGAGCACCTTCAGCAATGCCAGCAGGAACTCCCAGGTGAGCCGAGCCTTCACGTGCCAGCTGACATCAAGAAGAGGAACCAACAGTTCATAACTTGTAGGATTTTATTCATCCGGACAAAGTTAAGCTCAAGGGAACAAAACACAACAGATTTGTCAGTTTACTGCTTTTTCTCAGTAAATTCCCCCCGAAGGTCAGACCATGTAGTGCTCAGAGAAATGCCTCTGCAGGCCTCGACAAGACAAAGGTCAAAGGTCACGGCTTGTTTTGGAAAAGCTTCTTCTGGTCAGGAGGGGGCGATCTCTTGTAGAGAAATGATTTTGTATTTAATCACCGAACTGTTCTCAGGAGTAGAACGTGACGCTTTGCGTCTAATTTCTAATGTACTCAAACAACACGCCGTGCTCGGCCCGGCTACAGTTACTCACTGCCTTAGCTGTTCCAGCGGCGGTGCACACCCTGAAAACACGCCGGCTGTAACCAGAGTCCACAGAGGCGGTAGCCTACGTGTGAATCCAGCCTGTTGGGAAGCAAAGAGCAGCCCGTTGTGTGTCTGGTCCAAGTCATGCCAGGCATTTCTGACTCTATAATCTGTGACAGCGCGTTGTTTCAGCTCAGCATTAGATACGATTAGCCTCTAAATGCCTCTGGACCGAACCCTCCGTGTGTGTTTCCAGGTGTTTTACCCAACGCTCAACATCAACGGGAAGCTGTTCGTTTCCGTGGACCAGAACGGGGTTTCCCCCCCACCGCTGCAGGGGCAGCTGCCAGCGTGCACCATGGAGAAGGTCAAGGAGGAGAGCGTGAGTCTCAATGGAAACAATGGTGCAGCCAATGGTCAGATATGTGGATAATGAATCAGCATAACTCCACTGTGATATCATGGCTAAACACACACACACACACACACTAACCCGCTCAGATAATATTACAAATAAAACATAACCAAACAGAAAGGTTTGTCTATAAAACACAAACACATTCAACATTTTAGCTTTTAGCTACTTTAGCTTGTGTTACATTTTTCATCGCTACCTTGAGCCTCAAGACACCAGTGTTTTTGTCCGTCTTTGTAAATGTGTGTTTCTTACCAAAATATACCATAAATCAGTGAACAGATTTTAATAAAATGAAATAATCAGTGACGAACACCTACAACAGTTCACTGTTTGGAGTTTACCTGAGTTTGACCTGAAGCTCTCGACCTTGACCTCTCTGGCTTCAAACATCTGCTAAGTTCATGGCAAAAACCATCACAGACATGTTCCTGTTTTTAGTTTCTACACAGCCTTACAACCTAGCTGTATTTGTTTAATACCATTGTCTTTCACTTGTTCTCAGTTTGTAGCATCCTTTGATTGTCCACTGTTGTCATCACACTGTTAAAAATCAGGTCTCTCTTGTAAATGAGTCCCTCAGGCTCAATGGGACTAACGTGTAGAAATAAAGGTTGAATGAATTCAAGATGGCCACCAAGGCTTATTGACATTATGCAACACAAAACAGCTCTAGTTCAGTCAGTTTTACAGCTGTTGAGGGAAACGTTGGTGTGGTAGTAGCTGAGAGTCATCCATTACACAGACTTTGAGTGCTAACCAAACACCTGAGAGCAGTGAGACTGTGTGTGATTGTGGGCAACGTTGTTTTCAGCGTTTGTCTAAAACAACAACAACTTTATCATTGGTCAACTTCAGATCATCTTCCTCTGACCCCAAACGTTTTATTTTAAAACCGTTTGCCTCCTGCTCACCGTAGCTTGGTCAGTTTTTTGCTGCTTTTAAGAATAATGAACTGCTGTTGGCGTCCACTTACTGGGTGTTCTCGTCACACTCATGACACGTTCTGTAATTTATCAGGATTATAGTCTGAAATGAGCTAAGATTGAGGTTAAAGATACAAAAATTTGACCTGTGACTTTAATATTTATTGAGAAGTAAAAGGGACCCAAGTCCACAACCAAGAGGAACTCCATGTGTGGATGTTTGCTAGTCAGATCCATTTCAAACCGAGGAAGTCTAAGTTGGACATCTGAGTCCTCATTTGGACTGGACCAAGTATGTCCAGCGTTTTGGGGTCTGCCCTGGTTTTAGCAGAAGATGCTAACAGACTCCACCCCCTGACCCCCCGACCCCCTGACCCCTGACCCCCCACCCCCCGGTCTTTCCTGCCTGGTTTGAGTTTTTTCACTCAGGGATGTTCCTCCACCCTGCAGACTCAAAACGTGCACGTATCCTCTGCCAAGTCCAGCTGAGGTGATAATCAGATCACACGTGCACGGCGTGACTCTGTGCCCCGCAGAGACGGAGACAAACTGTTGGTGTCCATGGAGACGTTTGGACATCGTAGTCCAGCGGAACGTTTCAGAGCAACATAAAAAAAATAATTTTAGAATGAGAAAACAAAACCTTCATGTTTTAGGAATGTAGAGAGGTTACGTTAAAGAATGATTTAATTATTATTTACAACAAAATTAACAGAAGAATCGTTGACTGTCGTCAAGCGATCAGATCGATGATTATTGATCTGTGGAACGCTTCAAACTCACGAAGCTTCTTCTAAAAATGGACATTTGTCTTCATAAGAAAAAAAAGTCTGATAGGAATTTTTTTGCCTCCAACTCCTCCATGTGTCCAGTTAACCACTGTTTTTTTTGTCTGTCCAAACAGGTCTCACTTGTAAATGAGTCGTCGAGGCTCAATGTGATTTATCTGTTTAAATAAAGGTTGAATAAATAAACTTGTCATTTTAAAACTTTTTGTTGAAACTTCTGTCTGGACGTGTTTCTGTGACGCAGATGAAACTTGGTTTTCCTTCAGTTTGTTGATCGTCTCAAGTATTTGAGAACATTTTTACTTTTTGGTTCAGTTTTAATTTTCCACACCAGGACTTTATGAAAATGATTTCATATTTGTGAACCAGCAGCTTCAAAGATCAAACTGAAGCAGAGACAGACCCGGAGCGTTGGGCCCGGGGAGGGGGGGGTTCCTTTAGTTTGAGACTTTTCATGACGTTGGACCGGATCAGACCGGATGGAGAATGATCCAAACACAAACATCGTTCTGTTCAGATAACTTCCTGAACACGTTTAAAACTGAAAACGCTGTTCGTTAAAGTTAGTTTTAGTAGCCGACAGTAGTTGTTTTAGCTGTTTGGCTGTTCCTATTTTTAATTCAGAATATAAAGAAACTAAAATCAAAATGAGAAAAAAACTGCAGCTTCTGCTGAAATACAGCTGAGAGACTGAAGCGTGATGAAGAAGCTGAGACTCGGTTATTAAAGTTAAAATCAGCTGAACACAAGCTAAAACATGAAGGGAGCTACATGCTAGCTGAGTCACACAGGATCATCTAAAATGTAAATCCAAAAGCCTAGCTAAAAGCTTAAAGTAGCAAAAGGATAGCCTAAATAAAAAAGTAGATTACTAGCTAAAAGCAACCGAACAATAGCTAAAAGCTAAAATTATCAAAACACTAGCCAACAGCCAAAAGAAGCAGAACACTAACTAAAACAAAAACTAAAGAAGCTAAATGTAGCAAACTGCTAGATAAAATGTTAAAAGGCATGCTAATACTAAAAACACAGTTTACTAGCTAAAAGCTAACAGCAGCAGAATGGTAGCTAAATGTGAAAAATAGCACAAGGCTCGCTATAAGCTAAAAAAAAAAAGAAGCTTAAACAGAACCAGCAGCCGAAGCAGAATTCATCTTCATGTGTTTCTATGAGGAAATGTTTTTAAATAAAGTGAAATGTTTTGAAAAGTATAAAAGTTATAAAAACCAGAAGTTGTAGCAGAAATCGGCTGAACGAGCCGAAGGTTTTGACGTGTGAACATCTAAAGCTGCAGGACTAATTCAGAAGTTGTTAGATCATAAAAAACGTTCGGTAAAATCAAACGGGTGCTGCTGAAGCTTCACAGGCGGCGGGTGACAGGCATTCAGCTCTTACAGGCGTTCAGCTTCAGGAGCTGATCTGAGCTGTGAGATCACAAAGTTCTGGTTCTGACCCAGAGCTGACGTTCATACCTGACATGTTTCAGCTGTTGTTGGAGCGGCAGCAGCTGAAGGCAGGTCTAATGGTTTCATCATGTTTTTGCATCTTGCAGCTGTTTTTTTTAACCGTGAGCTGATTTCTCTGATTCTTTGAACACCAGTCGTTACCTGCTCATCTGTTGCCGTGGTGACGGGGAGCACGTAGCCGAACAGTGTTTGACCCGGCGCATGTGATAACAGCCGAATGTGAGACGGCTCATGAATGAAGTGTTTTACGTCACCGTGGAAACGGCTCAAACCAAAGATGGTCTTAAAGTGGCTCTTTAAGGACCTCCAGAGTCCAGAGATAACGTCCACCCTGTCTCGGTGTGTCTCAGGTCCCCACGTCCTCCACGGAGCTCAGCACCATGCTCCTTCCTCGACCTTCGTCCACCCAGGGCTCCGAGCGGAGGGGGAGGGCCCTGAGCGCCGCCAGCTACCTGACGGACGCCATGGAAGGTGAGGAGACGCTCGAACTGCATGAAGAACCATTGGCTATGGAAATGTATGGCCAGCAGGTCACCTGAGGTCACCTGAGGTCATACATTCAGACCAAAGGTCGTCTCTATGGCAACACTGTTGGTCTGGTTTTGACCCCAGCGTACGTCTTTCAGCACATTTCTTAATTATTGTAATTATTTTTAGCTGCGTCAACAACTCCAAAACTCCAAAATACAAGTTCTAACAGAGCTGGACTCTTATTCTGAAGAGCCTCTGCAAACTTTAGTTTGAAACTCCAGGTCTAATCCTCTTCCTGCCTTTTATGTTTGTTTGTTTTTTTTAAACATAAGTTTTTGTTCATTCCTCTGTGTCTTCAAATCTCTACAAGAGTCATGCAAATGATTTAAAAACATATTTTAAAACCAAAATGCTGCACAATAAATGATGTAATAAATAAATAAATAATGACATATGTAATAAATAAATAAATAATGACATAATGTAATAAATAAATAAATAATGACATAATGTAATAAATAAATAAATGACATAATGTATAAAACGACAGAAGATAAAATAAATAAACATCAATAAAAACAATCAAAGCAGTGAAGAG